ACGACGCAAGGAAATAATCCGGGAAAATGGAAACGAGGCCTAACGCGTATTTTAAAGATCACATCATATGAAAATAAAAAAAAAAATCTGATCGGGGATTGGGTTCATCCTGAGTTCATTTCATTTCTTCATAACACAAGTGTGGTTTCATAAACTGTTTGCCCTCTGGGGCTAAATAAAGTAGATTTAGGAGTATTGACAAAACATTAGAACATCAGAGTACTAGTGTGTCGGAATAGTAATGTGTCGTCCTGCTGATGGAACATCAGGCCGCCACTGATGCTACAGCGCTGCCTCGGGGGTACAAACTGGCTCTAGGTGTGTGTGTGTGGGGGTGTGAGCATGACTTTGTGTGGTGCCTGCACCCTGCAGGGCAGTTTGGTGTATCTGTAATCATATGAGCATGTTTATCTGTGTGTGAACATGTGTGTATGAGTGGCTGCGACCGTCTCAGAGACAGATTGCTTGTATTTGAGACGTTAAAAAAAAAATCTAAGAGAGTGGGGATTTGGATGGAAAAGAATGAAACATCCTGTAATAATGAAAACAGTTGGTGAGGGAGGGGGAGAGGCGGGGGGCGAGGGAGAGCATCAGCAGTGATACTGTGTATCCGCTGAGGAGTATTTGTACACGATGCAGTTGTTTAACAAAAATATCTGATCCTTTTAGTAACTGCACTGAGATCAGTGAACGGGTTCTCACCGTATGTAATAAGAACAGAGGAGGATTTTTTCACTAAGTTTTCATCTGGGTATTTTTTTATTGTCCACTCGTGAAGCATCAGTATTTTGCACCATGTTTAACTGCAGGGGAAAACATCTACATCCTAATATGGAATTTATGGTTCTGAAAGGAGAAGATATTTTTGCATCTGAAGAATAAGTTTAAAATCATTCTGGTCCAATTTTGGGGAATGTTCTGAAAAATGTTTTATTAAATATTCACTGAAGTTCTGGTCAACAATCAGACTTAAATCAATGCAGTAACATTGACAAATTTAACTGACAAATGTTTCCTTTTAGAAATGTGTTTTTGTAGCAGCACACATCCAGATTTAACTTTGCAACAGATTAGGATCTGATTCAATGTGTTTTGTTGTTGTTGTTGTTGTTTTTTTGTATAAATAAAATGAATTATCATTGTGACAAAAAATTTAAAAAATCTTGTTCTTAGTTATAATTTAAATTTTAACTTTAGCAACTTTAGCATTAAAACTGGATTTTATTCAAAAATTATGCTGTTCTCACTGAACAAAGGAAATAAAGTGACAAAATAGGTTACACTGTTGCACAAAAAAAAAAAAAAGTAAAATTCCCTGGCTCTGTGTTCCTCTCAATGTGACCCGCCCTCCACTTTGAGAACCCCTGCCTTTATTAATCAAACACTTTCACTTTCACACATAAATTTCAAAAACTGCCCTTGTTTAAAAAATATTTATGTGTACAATTATAAGTTATAGATTATCATGAAATTGTATGTGAAGATGAAGAACATCAACTCACTTCGTTACATGTAGTATTTGAATTTGAATTTCTTCACACTCTTTAAAAATCTGCACAAACGTCCGTGTCTTTACCACAAATATAGATATCATAAGGAACATTTTTATAACTTTTTTCTCGACCCGTTGCTCTCCCTCTGAACCCTCCTCCCATTTCACCCTCACACCGTTTCCCTTCCCCGTTGTTTCCGAAATATGTCTGTGTTTATCACATGTGACATCACAGGATGGGCCTGTCCGCGGCAGGTAATGATTTTTTTTGTTCTCATTTCTGTGTTGAGAGGCCTCAGAGTAGTGCTGGTTATCGGGCCATTTATTACCCTGCCAGCTCGCCACTCAGCTGTCGGGGTAAATGCAATCTGTCCTGATTCACACAATTACCCCTATACTGTGTGAGATTTCTCTCACAATATAGCACTGTGGGCGAGAGAGAGTTTAGGGAAACGCACACAGGATACGGCCGGAGCTGATTTGTTTTTTTCCAACCTCACCAGAACTGTCGGTCCACGCTGCCGTTTGACAGCATCAGGGGCAGAAACACTGACACCAACAAAGGTCAAAGGCAGAAGTTTTGACCTTGTCTCCACGTCACATTCTCCACCACGAAGAAAACCCAATCATCTGGGTTTTTTTTAATTCTCAGCCACAGTTATGTGTCACTGAATCCGGCACCCATTCATTACAGGTTTGACTGTGATTTAACCTGTGATCCTGTGATCAACCTGTGATCTCGCTGCAGCCTCTGAAGGTGACAAGAAACAGAAGAATAGGAGCCTGAAAATGTTTTTTTATTTGTGTTAATTAACATATAAAATAGTTAATTAGTTAATGATTAATAAAGATGAAAGGATTAGAGGTGCTAAAGATGGATGAGTTTATATACTTAGAGTCAACCATCCAGGGAAATAGACATACACTGAAGAGGTGGAGAAAATGGAATGGACGGGGGACGAAGGCAGAAGAAGAAGTCTGTGGACCACAGAGTGAGGATCAAGTCCTGTTGGTGGGACAAGACTGTGAGAGTGTGAGTCTTTTTCCACTTTTTGAAAGTACTGCCCTGTTGTTTGGGCAGTAGTTGATACAGTAGTTATTGTACATATCCCTGTCCTCCCCTCTGTCCTCTGTTTTGGGACACACTATCCTGAGCTAATAAACGCTGCACTCTGTTTCTGCAGTACAGCGGAAGTCATCAAAAAATGCACAGAAACAGGCCACGTTTCTCACCTAGCCCAGCACTTCTGCATGTGTCTGCAAGAGTGTGTTGGCCCGTGTGTGCGTCCACGCGCTGATGTCTGTGTGAGTGTGCGCGCATGCGTGCCTGGCGAGAAGAAGTGCTCAGCAATATTTAGCGTTACTGCGACAGAACAGCTTTGGGACAAAACAGAAGAGAACGAGGCTCACCTTCAGAGAAAAGGAAATGGAAAAACACGGCAAGAGAACGAAATACATTTGGTCGTCATAATGAAACATTTAGCTCCAGGTTACACAGAGATCCCTTAAAAAAAAAAAAAAAAACCTTACAAATAACGAGACACGTATTCACCTCTGACGGAAAATATGAAAAATGTTTTTATGACCTCGGCGCAGAAACCACTAATGACATATGACAGAGTATAATTAACAAATAATAAAAGAAGTTTCTAGATGTTCTGTTTGTCGACAGTGAGGCCTAAAAATGAACGTTTTCACTGACGAGTGAGTGATTGTTTTTTGTATGTTCAAGGTTCAAATTTGTCCAGAAATACATTTATTTACATCACAGCAGCAGCACCAGGCGCCACACACGCTGTCGTCCCCTAACCCTCACACACTCACACACACATTACGCCCTAACAAAGTACCTTGACACACACACATGGACGTCCAGCTCCCCTGGTTAGGGTTAGGAGATTAGTCTTTTTAGTTTTTCTTGTCTCTCATTTGTTTGTCTTCAGGATGGACCACTCCCTATTTGTAGTCCACACCTCCTACATCAATGTGTCCCTGCCTCCATGGTGTTCACCTGACCTGTCATCCTTTAGTTGCCAGACTCTTTCTGGACAGACAGCTTGGAGGCTGGACAAATAAAATCAAATAAAAAATACATTTTTTTGTCTAACATTTTTTTTTTTTTTTTTGGTGTTTATTTTGGAATCCAGTTGCGGGCCAGATTGGATGGTTCAGCGGGCCAGATTTGGCCCATGGGTCACCAGTTGATAATCATTGCTTTTATTATTACCACACTATCTTGTTTGACCCTCATTTAAATCCTAAATCCAAAGTAAATTTCAAAGCTCTAATTACCCTCTAACTCAGTTGGGAGATAAGAAATGTCCCCTCTAGGACAACGAGTCCCCAAAACTAAATACTTTTTCCAAAACCGTGTCCCCACAAGTATAGCTACACCAACATTATACACAAAATGAAAGTTCTTTAAACACCAGTTATTTAAAGACAAATATATAAAACCTGAGGTCTGGAGCAGAGGGGTGTGATCCACAGGATGGAACAGCCGTCGACCTCTCTCCTGTCTGTTGTTTAATTGTCACGTTGTTGTTGTTGTTGTTGTACATACAGCTGTAGTCATATTGTGAATAACTAACAACAGAAGCGTTCTGTAAGGAGGTGTCAGCTCTGGTTCTTTTCAACAAGGTCAGCTGATAAAATAGAAAACCCCGACTCTCCCAAAAATAAAGTGTGGAGCTGTTTCTGAAGTGTGAGGATGACACCGATGAGAGAACACCCTGAGCCTTCCACACTGGGCTGCAGTTCACAGTCATGTGTGCTCTGGTGAGAACACACACACACACACGCACACACGCACACACTCAATGGAGTATTCTGCCTAACTTTGTGTTAGCTTTTGGAGACAAAATACATTTCCAATGAAACAGCTTCACTGTCAGGTGAAGACGAGTTCATTCAAGGACTGGGTTTTGACATCAAATGTACACGTGTGTTTTTACTACTATGGATATTTTTTCAAATCAACTGAGAGTTTCTTTAGCAGTAGTTATGTAAAAAAAAGTATGTTGGATGTGTGTGTGTGTGTGTGTGTGTGTTTAATTGGACCTCCCTGAGCCAGTCTCCAGGTGATGGAACTCATCTGCTCTTCCGCTGATTAAGGACAACAGATGGACTCGCAGATCACACACACACTCATACACACACACACACACACACACACACACACTCCCTTATCGGAAAATACTAATATATATGCATACAGTACAAATCTGCCTTTACTGTAAGTTATAGCCGACAGACCCCCGCCCCCTCAAAACACACACACAAATCTCATATGAAAACCATAAATGTTTCCTTTGGTTCATCGTCAGATTTTCTCATCAACGTCAGTGACAAAAACCTCATCCTCCTGTGTGTACATCTGACATCTTCACTCTCCTTCTCCTTCTATCTGTCTGACAGATGTAATGAGTCCATTCATTTGGCCACTGAGAGTCAAGACAAGGAAATCAGATATTACAGAGGGGGGAGGGGGGTGGGCGGTGGGGCAGAATTTCTCTGGACAGACTCCAAGGGGGGACTTGCACTCAAGTAAAATGACATTGTCTAACATTATAATTGGATATTTATTTTTAGTCCGGTGGGCCGGATTCGGTCTGCGGGCCACTAGTTGATGATAGCTGTTTTTACATGATCTGACAACATAAATCCTTGAATCGTGTTTTTCTTACTGGTCGGTTAATTTACATCCTGTGTTTACATGGAAAATAAAATCTTTCTTATTTGAACTAATCAGTCAAACTCACTCTAAATACATTTGACTTTATTTACGACTCCTTTCAGGAGCTAAATTCCAGAACAACCTCTGAAGTCACACATGTTTGTGCATTCCCCAACTAGATGAGCTCAATTGCTTCTATTTTATTTTTACATCGACTTCATGAAACTCTATGTCCCCGTCATTCCTGCGTCTTCTTTAACAGCGGCCTCTTCGCAGCACTGAGTCGTCCATGAGCAGCCACTAACCTTTAACACACCTTCAGCAACTTTCCCCCAGCACAGACCTGAGTCAGTGTCTCTTATACACCTGTCTCATTAAAAGCAAAGCGGTGCTTCCTCAGAGTATCACAGGAACTCAGTGATGTGCACTTCCACACACTGGGACTAATTAAACCATATTCATACACAGTCGTTTGGTGTCAGAAAATTAAAATTTAATTAAACTTGTTGTCAGAACTTTTTAATGGGAGAGAAAATGCATCTGGTGATAAAGAACTTTATCACATCATCGATCAATCTGTTAAACGACAAATGACGCCACGTCCTGTGAATATGAACGCTGCACCGTTCCAGTTGTTGAGAGTGAACCTTGTCTGACCCTGACGCAGATACTACTGTACTGTCACACTAATCTGACTGTCGGCGTAAAACACACACACCGTTTCATTCACATTCATCTGCCTTGGAGGACACATTACTGATAATGATGAGGCTTTTCAGCCTGATACCTAACGTCGCCATTAAAACCATCGTCATGGTTCCAACAGCTGACATAGAATTAATTGAGCAGGTGATGACAAGAGAGAGGAAACACAAAAAGTGCAGAATAAATAGAAAAATAATAATAAAAAGTCTCACCACCAGACAGTATTTAAATTGGTATTAAACGCTGTGATAGCTGAATCAAATCGATGAGTGTTGAGAAATACCATAACAATAATTTCCATCCTTATCTCCCCAAAACACGTAGCCTCGCCTCACACACACATACACGCACACACTCACTCACACACACACACACACAAACACAAAGACCTGCCCAGCCATTCTTGTCAGGACACTGCATTGACCCCCCACCCATTAATTTGGAGAGATTAACCAAACCCTAATCCCCAATGTCAGACTTAACCACCCAAATTCTAGACCTAAACTCATCCTAACCACAGACCACGTGGTCTAATCCTGACTTTAACCAGATCCTGAGAAACGAGGTCTAGTCTCATCAGGACCAAGACCCGACACTGTCAGGAGTTGTACAAGAACAGGTCCTAAAAAGGCAACAGAAATGAGCATACGTTCACACACAAAACATGAAGTGAAAGGAAGGGAAGAAGAGAATAAGAATGAAAGGCAGAGAGGAAAAAGAAAGAGGGGGTGATAACAGCTTCAATAAATCATTCGGGCCAGTCGCTGCTCCCTGGGGATGTGGGATGGATTAAATTAAGCACTCTCTCTACCTACTCTCTCTCCCTCTCTCTCTCTCCCTCTCCCACCCCCTTCCCCTCTTTCTCTCTACAGTATAAATGCCAACAGCTGATCAGGAGACGGCACACGCACGGAAACACGTCGCTGAAGCTGCAGAAAGAAAGGACCAGAAGGAAAGAAAGAGCTAGAGAGAGAGAGAGAGAGAACAAGAGGGAGAAAGTTAGACGAGAAGAGGAGAAAGAGGGGGATGCAGAAAGTCGGGATGCTCATGAGGAGTCGTTTTGTGATTTTCTTTTTTCTATCGACCTCAGTAGTCGCTTTTAACGGGAATTGAGGAATTAAGGACTACAACCAAGGACGAAGGACGCAGTGAGAGTGACATTTATTCTGAAAAGCGTCCAGAAAACACCGCCCTTTTATTTTTTTTAAACCATCATTCCCCTCGAACAATTCAGTTACTCTTTAATCTGAAGAAGCCCGTGAGCAGAGTACCTCATATATACATCCTGTTTCCACTTCTTCTTCTTCTTCTTCTTGTTATTCTTATTATTTGTCTGCTGTTGTTTCCATCTCTGGAACACGGAGGACGCGCGGCTTTCCCGACGGGAGCTGTCCGGTGCTGAAGTTGCATTTCACATTCTCTGCACAAGGACTTGGACTGCAAGACACGAGGCGGCGAGAGGGACGGTAGGAGCCACGCGGAGCACCGGTGGACACCAAGTGCTTTCCTGGATTCGTTTACAGCTTCCGTCTCTTTCTGTATCTGAAGAAACAAATCCTCATCTGCTTCACCTGCCTTGTTTTGTGAAATCTCCAAGCTGGCCAGGCCGTCGGCGATCGCCTGTGTTTGCGAGTGTGTGTCGTCGCGTTTGTGAGTGTGTGTGTGCGTGTGTCGGTGTTGCAGCACCATGCCAAGGTCTTTTTTGGTGAAAAAGGTAAAATTGGATGATTTCTCCACTGGGGCGGATCTGGAGCACGCCTACCGGCACAGGACGGACCTCAACCTGCGGCTCCATGACAAAGGTAGGTCAGATCTGTCTACACAATGGGCACTAACAGGTGTCTGAAAGAGTCGGTCTGTGGGAAGAGTCGATAATAGCCCAGATCTCAGTGGCATTTCTGTGCACCGACTCTGTGGGTGGATGTGTCCGAGCAGGACTTTCTGTTCTTTAACACCCACCCCAGCGGCACGGTGGCACACATACCAATACAAACTCAGTGAGTCCGTGCTGCGTGTACTATAGGATCATCAAACCCAGGAGTGTATTTGATGTCAGATCACCTGTTGTCACGTTTTCTCGTCTGCCTGCTGTATCAGAAACTTGTGATCAAAGCTGCGGGACTGTAGCTGTAAAACTGTGTGGTCTGTCAACAAACTCAGGGGCAAACCGTCAGGTTAATAATAAAAACGATTTGAGGAGTCATTTGTCCAGAGCAGACTGTACCAGATAGATTTGAGCAGGACAAAGACACGGTGCAGACTAAAGAAGCTAAATTAAAAAATAAAAAAACACCTCCTGGTTTTAGGTGTTGCCACGTCGAACATCCAAGCCCCAGAAAGCCCCTGTGGAGGTGGGTTGCCATTGAAGCGAAAAGATCACTTAAGAAATCAACAGAATCCAGCACAACCCTTGTTGCATCGATCCTGGCTCGTGGTCAACAGTGACTTTCACTCCTACGCAGAATAAGTCAGGTTAAAGGCCAGAAAGACAAGAAAGATGTTAACCACCACACACACACACACACACACACAGACACAGACACACACACGCACGTTTTTTCCCTTCTCCGTGGAAGTCTCACTTTAAACCTCTTAGTTCCACCTGTTCTATCTTTGGGAGATTTCTGCGCAACAGTTTCCACGCAGGCTGTAGAGAATGTTTCACTTTTTTCTGTTCTAAAGCGGCCGCATGTAAAGAAGAGCTTCAACTACAGGGATGGACGAGAGGTTAAACCATGACGTTGACGTCACTTAACAATAAAAGACTATGTTAACGTCAATAACAGCTTCATAAAACGTCGATCATCATATCGACTGAATGGACTTGTCAATGGGAGCCACAGTCTTTACACACTACAGTACGTTTATACTCAATTTGGACACGTTCCATTATGTGGTCTGGCTGTAGTTCCGTTGGTTAATTAGTGCAGCTGTGGAGGGTTGTGGGTTCTATTCCAGCCCTAGTAGCCAGCCCCAGGTAGATGGCAGAGGATGTGGTGAAGGACCTTTGAGTGATATTCGGAACTGGAAAACAACATACAAGTACAGAATATTTGCCAAGTATTACAGTATTTACAGTACAGTTCGGATTCATGTTTAAGTTGTGTATGAAGTCATGAAAACGGAAATTCCTCTGTTTAGACTCACTGCTACCTTACGTCGTCACCCCTTAAAGAATCTGCCCTACTCTCGTCGCCATCCCATAATATATTCCTCTCTCGCCCGCTGCTGTTCAACGGCCGACAACACAGTTGAAACTCAACAAACGAATCCACGAGCTGTGGGTTTATTTTTTCAGCCTGTGTTGCTGTGGTGAGGAAGAACAGCACTTTATTACATATGGTCTGACACGGAGCGGGGCTTCTTAATGGCCGATGCCCCGACACTGCAGTTGAAGTGTGTTACTGCCCCACGCTCTGTGATGCTGTCAACTTCTCCTCCATCCACGGCCGTGTGCGCCACGTCCACCCCGCACGAAAAGACCCCGAGCTGCCTCCACCTTTTCAATGAAGCCACTGCGTCGCCTCCATCCGCGAAGTCACGGACAGGTCGGTGCACAAGGACACGAGCAGGCGGCACCTGTGGTTAGCCCTGCGCTCGTGGAGCAGAAAGCTGTGAGCGGAGTGTTGATGACGTGGAGGTTAACAAGCCCGGCTCACCGTGACACACGCGAGCTGCTGTGCTGCCTACACGGCGGCCACCTTTTGTCTCCATCCACTAACTGTGCGCGGTGACAGCTTAATGCAGTACAGTACAGTACAGAACAGTACAGTATAGTACAGTACAGTACAGTACAGTAAACACAAACACCAGGGGTGACGTTCTGCTTCAACGAAGCGGTTTTTGGAATAATTGATGTTCCATGTGTTTGAATTCTGAAAGTGTGTGACGTGGGTATGTTTTCACACAACACGGCGAAGTGTGGACCTGATAAAGTCTGTGTGGACAGATGTCACGTGTTGATTCTTCAGTTAAAACACACACACACAAAACAAAAAAAAACTTAATTTAATATTGGATTTTTAAAGGTTTTTTTTACTGGAAACAACGTTGCACAATAAATGCTTGTTAGTATATCATAGTTGTTGGTATATTGAATTATTACAGAGATTTAAACAAAATAAAATAATATATACAACATACAAGCACTAGAGAAAAGAGGGGGAAGAAAGATTTAGAAACAAATAAATAAATGTTATATATGAAATATTACAATATGTTATTAAACCTTTTACTACATATTCTATCTAATGAAGCTTTAAATAAGTCATGATGTGATAAAGTCACTGAGGAGTAAAAGCAGCTGTGGTTGACGTCTGGCCAAGTGAAACATTACGACCAGTTTGACCAGGGAGTTGTTTTTTTATTTTTATACGTGGTAGTCCATGTGAAACATAGGATGTACTTTAAGAGTATGGAACAGATACTGTATTTAAAAAATGTAAGCTGACACGTGATGTTTTAAAGAAGAGCTGAATTAACAGAAGCTATTGACACGTTTAAAAAACACCTTACTATACTAACCTTACTGTTATTTATTAAATTCACATAAGTACATTTATGATCTAAATTAGCAGAATAAATAAATTGTAGCGTGTTTACACAGAAAACTACTACAGTGGTGGGCTAAATACATAGTGCCTATAAGAGACCCGAAATATTTGAGGAACGTCCATATATATTGTATTTTATAAAATCCCATGTTGACGACTATATATACTGTATATTTCTTTTGCAAAAACTGTCAAAAATATTTTGATCCTATTCTGTATAACCTAGAAATGTCATTATAAATACTAATTCTACAGTGCTTTAGAAAAAAGAACTGCGAACCCGAGTATACTGTATACTGCGTGTACTGTAGCGTATGAAGCCTGTTGCGAGTCCTCAGTCTAATGTAATATGCAAGAAAGTACTGCTGACTGCACTGGCTGGAAATGCACAGCAACAGCTGCAGCTCTGCTGTCACCGTGCCATCACTGTGCACTGCACTACACTGCACTGCCCTGGAACTGTCCGTGGTGCTGATGCTCACTTTCACACACCGCATCAGCTTCCCCAGCCTGCGTGCATTCATTTTCCACTGAGGAGCTGTTTCACCAGTAACCGTGGAGGTCGGGGGTATGGGGGACANATTAATAGGTTAGAGCTGATAAGTAAAGATTTTTCCCCTGCTCTTGGCAACAGGTGAACTGAAGAAAAAACAGGTTCTCCATTCATTCAGCGACTTACACATAAATGCAATTGTTTTTAAGCGGCCACTGCAGCACTCATGGCAAGTTGACAACTACTCTTTACTACCTCAGGGTGAATGCAGTGAATGGAACATGGCCTTGGCTGTAGCTGCTGCAGTATCACATTAACAACACGTTCAGTACCAGTTCCTGAGGGACCGATCGTTTCATTTGTGCTCATAAGGCCTGGAATTCACAGTTCTTAAAATCGCAGTGAAACAAAACACGTCGTGCATCAGACACAGAACAGCAGGAGCACTCCTGTATAGTTTATTTTAAACAATATTTTGTATAAGTGCAGATGAGAAACTGCTGACCTGGGACAAGATAAAAAAAAATTGCTGATCTAAGATCAAATCTTACTGGAACCATCTGTGCTACCATATTTGGTTTTCCACTCTTTCTCTTAAAGGAAAAAAAGCAGCTGGCTTTACATCACATACATTACAGCACCACCTGTCGTGTCAGCACTTCTGTCTGTATGTAGCCCTAAGTGAATACCCCATGATGATTCTATATACGATTGTGCATCTCTGAAAAACATTTAACAAACATTTAAGAAAAGAAGAAAAAAATGGTGAATTACAGTGCTATTAATTTAATATGGATATTTTCCTCCCTAACATTTATGTAAAATCAATACCAAATAAAGTTAGATTAAAACTTCGTCATGAGGTAAAAAAAACACACAACCGTGTGTTTTAAATCTAATACAGATTAAATGTATTAGTTACTGTAAGTAACGGTACTAGTTATTTACAGTACTAGCCTTTTAAATACTGGTTACACTAAGTAATCATTTATTTGTCTTAAAGTGATGTGTGTAACAAGGCTCTTCATCAGAGATGACTGATAAAAACTGGAAAAGAAATTCTATCTGATTTCATTTCATTCCTTCAGTTTGACGTCAATTAAAAAGCTCCTTCTGATTTACAAAGTATTGAACCCAATGTAAACCCATACAGTTAATACATATTGTTTAATACAATATGAAGGAGGTGTATATTTATATGTAGTATACGTATATATTTCCAGATATTTTTTTCACTGTGTAAAATTTGCATTAAAACCATCTTTTATTCTGGATTTCTTATTTTGCACCATTTGTTCATGTGGAAAATCGTTTTCACAGACTCAAGTTTAAGTTGAATCTTCAGACTGGTTTTGTTATTCTTGTTGCAGTGGGTTTTTATATGAATGAGTTTTAAACATTTACTCAACAAACACCGAGCTGTTAAACATGATGTGGTCAAGAGTTGAAACATTTTTTTAAAAAATATATCAGACATGTTTTCATAGGAGACAGACCTGGACTGCAGGCAGACCAGGGACACATCCTGATGTTGTACTTTTCTAAACTGTGGAAAATCAGGTCTGATATTTTACAGCTGAAAAAACATAAATGGATGCCTGGCGGATATTTGAGTCTAAGGGAACAGTTTGAACAACACAGATTTCCCAGATCAGTCCTTCAGAAGAGCATGATTTTTTAAAATACAGTAGAACTAAGATGATCAGGAACACTGAACAGCAGGTTCTGTTCTTCAATAATTTTAACTGTAGACGGTGACAAGCCTTTTTTCCCCTCTCTCTCTCAGCGACATTTAAATTGAAAAGAAAACACTGAGTGCTTGCAGCAACTTAGTGTTTGATGTATGCACCGGTTGGAATCAATCTTGAAACGAAATCCCTGTTACCGGTCTTATCTGGGAATTATAGAACCTCCCAGGATGTTTTCAGTGAGGCAGGCATTCAATTTAAAACTGATGTGTGTTAAACTGGTTTCCTCCCAGTGAATAAGAAGGTAACACAGAAATATGATGACGAGTCACTGAGTCTGAATTACTAAACTGGATGTTGTGTTTTTAATGACATTTTTTAAATGATGCATCACAACATGTTTTGAACTTGAATTCAGTGTTTTTATTTTTTATTGTACTCCTGTGAGGTGACAGTTGTTTACTTTCTTCTCCACCACAGCTGGCTACATCAGTGACTACATCAGCCCTGTTGTCTACGATGCTGAGAGTGACAGTGGGATCAAGGTGCCCTCTCCTGATCCGCTCTACGATGGGATCCACAGTGACTACGGGGCCCCGGACTCGGAGTCTCCTGGCAGCCCCAGCTCCGAAATCACCGACGGCTACATCAACGGAGACGCTGCAGTGAGTGAGGGTTACACAGTCGATGCCTTCTTCATCACAGACGGCCGCTCTAGGAGAAAAGGCCTCAGCAGTCCCAGGACCATTCAGAGGCACACGTGCAACGAATGCGGCAAAACCTACGCCACCTCCTCAAACCTGAGCCGGCATAAACAGACACACCGCTCTCTGGACAGCAAGCTGGCAAAGAAATGTCCCACCTGCGGGAAGGTGTACGTGTCCATGCCTGCCATGGCCATGCATTTACTCACTCATGACCTCAAGCACAAATGTGACGTGTGCGGGAAAGCGTTCAGTCGACCTTGGCTTTTACAGGGCCACATGCGCTCCCACACGGGCGAGAAGCCGTTTGGATGTGCCCACTGCGGGAAAGCCTTTGCCGATCGCTCAAACCTGCGAGCTCACATGCAGACGCACTCGGCTTTCAAACACTTCAAGTGTAAACGCTGCAACAAGACCTTCGCACTCAAAAGTTACCTGAACAAGCACTACGAGTCTGCCTGCTTCAAAGGCCCCTTCTCTCCACTCAGCCCCTTAGATGCATGACCCCCCGCCGACAGATGAACCCACAGACTAAACTGCAGCGATGAATTACCTTAATATCCTTAAAACACTAACTGCAGACACTAAAACAGACAAATCTATTTTTGGTCCAAACGTGACCTTGCTTTTCTCCCTCCCTCCCCCACTTAACACCCCTCCCTCTAATTTACCCATATTCTTGCCTTCCAGTGGAGCCGACTCATGACGACGATGAAGATAGCACAATTTTTTCTCCTTCATATTTGTCCACTAAAGGATTTACCTGAGCTACGCATGCACTTCCTCCAGAAACTCTTCTTCACCTCCTTTTCCTCTGTCGGTTTCAGATAGAGACAGTAAGACATAAAACAGCTCCGTTCTGGCACCTAGATACATGAGGCCATATGTTTCAGGACACTGAGGACGGGGACAAGGACATAGACAATAGTCAGCCTATAGCTACTATAGCGCCTCCTGCACTGAGATACAGTGAGAGAAAAAAATGTGATTTTTCTTTTTCTTTTCTTTTCTTTTTCAAGGGGGGTAATAATAGTAATAATCATAATAATAGTAATAATAATAATGATACTAATAATATTCTGCTGCACCAAGTGACCATTTTCTTTTAACTAATGAGGTTCATTAAGTATCTATTTATTTATACTATTTATTTATATTATTTATTCCAATGAATTGATGACATCATTATTTATTATTATTTTCTACGTATAACATTTTTGTGATTTTAAAATATTTGCCAAAATCATTTTATTACTACAGGCCAAAGCATATGCCATATTTTTTGCCAACTTTTTAAATTTATAATTTTTTAACCTTTTTATTTTAGTTAACTGTGCTGCATGCAAAAAAGGAAACAAGATCTATGCCAACATCATGAATTTTTTGTGATTTTTTAAAATTTTTATTTTGCCAAACTCTAATAGATAGAACATGAGGGCAATATTTTTTTGGAGCCTCTGTAGGACTCTTTAAAAAGCAATAATCACCTAATGCATGGTATTTTATGATGAAGTTATGAAGTATTACCTACTACTGTATAGCAGTTTTAAAATCAGGTATGTCTTACTTCACCTATAGTCATAAAACAGAAAAAAATACTACTATTACAAAGATCAGGGAACATGCCAATGTAGTGTTAGAGTGACAAAAACAAAAAGTCCTGTCTTTCCTCTCTTGTTATGCACTGCCTGCCTCTTAGTGAGTAGAATTATGTAGGATGTATGCTAGAGAGGCTGGGATCAGCTGCCTGCTACGTATGAGGCCTATCGTAGGATAACTATAACCTTGACAAATCTGCACAACGGGAACTTTAAAGTAAAGGTCTGAGAATTACAGAGCGGGAGAGGCGTACGTTTTGCTTTGGGCCTCCACGTTTTGCTCACGACAGTTCAGTGCATTTTTATGGTTGGGGGTTTGGGGCTGTTAAAATGGCACTTATGTGTTGTTACGTTAGAAAAAAACAAACAAACATATTTTTTTATTTCTGAAGCCAAATAAATCGACAGGTTATAACCGTTTAATAATGCCATCTTTTAAAAGAAAACTAAAGGCTCACGTAAACATGTCGGACTCGGGAATTGTACATTGACTCATTGGAAGAGGTGCATAGTATTTGGCTTAAATCTGTATATTGTAAGGGAAATACAGAGTCAAGGTTACCGTAGGTTGATTTTTTATTTCACTTCCATACCATTTATTCTCAGATCAATAAAGATAGAAATGTGAGATTGAAACTGCACAAAGACACCGTTTTAGCAGTTAGTCATAATTATTCTGCTGTAGGCCTCATTCACCCAACCTTTTAACTGGCTGAGAGATACCTTGGGTGTAGACAGGCAAACCCAAAACTTTAGACCCCGATAGTTTCATATA